TTGTTAATGCAGCTGTGCCACAAATTCTCCTTTATACTTTAAAAATGTTATGACTTTAAATTATGATTTATTTTGACTGGAATAAATACACGAATGAAAAATTTCCAAAAAAAAAAAAAAAAACCTGTTAAACCTTATTGGAAGAGATAGTTTTAGCTTCAGATCCTGCCTACCTCATTTATTTTATGTGTATATTCAGATACATTTTATGACTTCTCTTTTTCTCACTAGTAAAATGGGAAATGAGAACAAAAATATCTATATAATTGGATCATGGCAAGCATCATATGAGATAATTTTTGAAAAGCATCAAGCTCAGTGGGCTAGTGCAGGGTAGATGATCAATACATGCAGCTTTTCTATCTCTTTTGCATCTGTTTGTGTTTAGGCAGAATACAAGGGCTGCTTATGGAAGAAATTGCAAGCTTGCCAAATGAGTCAAAACTCATAATGTTTCCGATTATAGCAATCACTAGGAGAGAAACCTAAAGGGAAATCTCAGCAGAAAGTCTTGAACTATTTATCTGTCAGTATCACAGAAATGGGATAGATGATTGATTAGATAGATAAATAGACAACAGATAACAGAAAAATTACATATATAATATATAGAACTATATTATATATGTGTATGTGTGTATATATTTGCCTGGATCTCGACTGACACATGATTACCTAACTGGCAACTCTAACCTCACAAGGGGCAATGGAGGAAAGTACTGAATACTTCAAGCTAGAATATTTACAGTTGAGTTAAAAGTATTTTTGTCTTTTGGGAGGATTATGCACGTTGTTGTTGTTTTTTTCTGTATTATAATACATTATGACTATTTTTGAACTCTCCACTTTAAAATAGTTAGACAAATAACAGTGTAATCCCTTGAGGTTTAAATTTTTCTATGACTTAGTCATGCATTTCTTCATTTATTTCTGCTGCATTATCTTTTTACCAATTCTACTGAAGTTTCACATGGTTTGGAAAATCTCTTATGGGCCAGAGGAAAATGGAAAAAGAGGTATTACCTTCAACTTATACTCCTCTAGCAAAAATATTCAGTTTTTCTATTTTTATTTTCCAAGGGAATTCAGTTCCACCATCTGAGCAGTGTGGTAGCCCCATTCTACTTCACTTGTTCAGACAAGTAGAATAGATCCTAACTCCTACCATCTTATTCCCTTCTGTTGGTTCAAGAAGCAACCTAAAGGGGTTCATCTGAGAAGAGATGTGCTACAGAAAGAGGGAAGAAAAAGTTCTGTTGAAGCCTTTTTCAAAAACTATTCTTGCATGAGCTCGCTGTTTGAACAGACCATTCAAGTTTGAGGTTAACAACATCTTGACCTTGGATTGGTCAGGAGATCTAGTGAGGATAATGTTTTGTTAAAATATCTAAGACTGCATCCAACACTGCACACTCTTTGTACATATCTAGTGATGAACCAAGGAGGAAACATCAGTTTCACTGGCAAGAAGCACCAAGGAGTTTTGCTCAGGAGTTATTAGGGTAGGCAGGAAACAACTTTCAAAACTGGTAACATTATGCTCAAGGATCTAAACAGTGGTGCTTAAAAACATTCTTTTATTTAATAGCAGAAGGACACTTTCCTCAAATGAAATTGTATGTAGTATCAAAATGCAGATAACAAAATATACAGATGGCGTGGCAGGAGTTGAAGTTGGTTCCAGAAACTTTGCTACTTGCAAACATCCTCCCTTACTTTTCCTGACTTCATTCACTCTCAATCTTGGAGTAAGCAGAGTCTCAGCAGGAAACACAATGGCATACTCAAATTTGGTAGTTTGAACATCATTTGATGAGGAAGTTATTTACAAAAGTATAGGCAAGATACAAGGAAACCTAAAGGTAGCATGGTACTCTATGGCTAATAACAGTCAGAAACCATGAGATAGATTGCCTTATTTTTAATATTTCTCATCCCACATGTTCTTTTTGATGCCATTTGGTATCGTTCCCATTGAAGAAAGGTGTCTCTGCTACCTTCCCCTGAATCTACAGCTACTTGTAACTACAGTAGAAAATGTGTTGCTATGTGCTTTCCATGGCTGCTTCATTAAGTGATGATGTAGTTTAGATACCTCCTTTTTTGGGGGGAAGCTTGTTTTTGGAACCCAGCCACAATACTGTAAAGAAGTACAACGGCCACGGAGAAGCCCATCTGGGGAAGGATAGTCCCCTGGCCCTCAGTCCAAGCTGACCTCTAAGCTGAGAGTCAGCACCAGCCTTCCAGCCATGGGAAGGAGACTTTTTGGAAACAGATCCTCTAGCCTCAAGTTGAACTACCCCAACTGATGTGGGGAAAAAAACATAAATAGCCCTTTTCTACCAAGCTCTGCAAAAAATTGCCAATTCTTGTGGCAAATAAATGATTTTCTTTTCTTTTCTTTTTTTTTTTTTTTTGATTGTCATTTTAAGGTACCAAATTTTGGGATGATTTGCTTTGCAGCAATGATAACTAAAATGAGAAGTTACTACACTTAAGTCTGAAGGAGAAAGGCAGGGGATATTGTTTACCAATAGCCTAGCAGGGGAAAGAGTTGTATGCTATTAACTCTCTCCTGCAAGAGAGGAAACTGGGAGAATAAATACCCTAATCTCGCTATCTTCCTTCATGATGGGCTCCTGATGATTCTCTCATTGGCAGAACCAAATGGGAGGCCAGAGGGTAAGAAAGCCTACAGATATAACACATGCATGTTAGCCTGGTGAGGCACAGCCCTGCAATATGGAAAAAGGTGGTCCTAGATCTGCAGTGCTAAAAAAAAAGATATCCAATCCAAATTCCTTCAGCTGATCCACAGGGCTTTGTGAAATGGTTTAAAACCCACCCACCTAGATAGGGTGAACCCGTGTAACAGACAGTCTTCTGGAATTCAACTGATGTTTAAAATTCTATGATGGATTATCACATCTTTATAAAGTCATCATGGATAGATGGATCTACAGACCTATAAATCGACCCACATACAGATATGAGCATGAATATGGACGAATATGCCATAATGTCAAGATGTTATTGGCAATTATTATCATTTTTTACATTTTCTTTCTTTCTTTCTTTCTTTCTTTCTTTCTTTCTTTCTTTCTTTCTTTCTTTCTTTCTTTCTTTCTTTCTTTCTTTCTTTCTTTTACTTTATTTTGTTCTCTACCATGAGCACAGGTTATCTCTGTCATTTTCAAAGCTATTAAATAAATGAATAATAAGCTTCGGTAGAATCAATAGATTCTTTTTAAGTTCACGACTCTCCTCTTGGCTTCAAATGCAAACCAGCCTGGGAAAGTAAGAGTGCATTAAAATTTAGGCCATCAGTCCTTTACAGGGTACTATGAATACATTTTAAGGGCTTTGTTAAAGGCGGGCTTTGAAGGGAGTGCAAAGGAAGGCTTTGTGGAAAATGGAAGGGGAGGTAAAGGTGAAGAAATACAATAAAATCCCTGAGACAGGGACTCAAAGAGGTAAGTTTTTCTGAGTGCACAGGAGGTCTTTGAATGTGCCAGTCTGACGGTTGGCAAGACCACTGTTTGAAGAACAACGTCATTGAGTAACAGCAGTCCATCCTGCTGCCTGGTATGCGTAGGTGTTGTTTGCCTGCATGCCATTAGGTACTTCTCTCTGCCACTTGTCTGCCCGGTTCTCCAGGGTCTTTTGATATTATCTAAGGAAGTCCAAAACCTCCAGATCTAACAAAAAGTCAATTGTGCCAACACACTGAATGAAGTCAGACCCTGTGCATAGGAATCACATCTCCGGAAAACAGTGACCCTGATTTAAAAAGACTAACCTTCATTATGAGGTTACCCTCCAGCTCAGCACAAGTTGAATGGCCTCAAGTGTGTTTAAGCTTTCAGCACATTAATTCTCTCATTACACTCAGGGCCTTCTAAGAGATAGAATTCATGGAACTCTGAGCTATATTTTGGACTGTTTGGAAGAATCCTATTAAATATTTCCTCCAAAGCTGTAATCCAGGCATTTGAGAGTCAGCATGACATATACATGAATTATTCATGCAAGACTCTGCAAGATGGGCAACTTTCCTGCCAAGAGAGGCACGGCAAGGGGTGTTATAAAACTGAAATTGGTGTGTGGAGAGGGGAGCGGATGGAGACAATTTCAAAAGATGATCTCTTTGCTGGTAGGGGGGTCGGGAGGGGGAGAATCCTCTAGACCTTTAAACCTTGCTTTCACAGCAGAGAGCTTTCTAAATCCTTTCATTCTTTCCTGGCCATTCCTTGTCCTCATTTGTTTGCTCCTTCAGAAGCCCAAGATGTTAAAACATAGTCCTCTCTCTTAAGCTGGCTGAATTAGAATAAGAAAAGAATCGTGAAATAGACCAATCCGTTATGAAAGGACACGTTTGCATTTTATTGTGTGACTCTGGTTACTTCATTCTGTGCGGATGAAAGGGGTTTGAATGGCAAAGTTACCTCAGTGGTGGTGGCGGGGAAGACTCTATCTTAAACAAACAAGCAGGCTGCACGTGGCCAGGTGCCTTCCTTACCTCACCCAGACAGGAAACTTAACTTCAGCGCTGACACATGGCAGCAGTACAACGAGGATTGCCAGTCCGAGGATTAGCGCCTTTGAGTTTTTCCCCCACATTTGCAGGATTTAATAGTTTGATGCAGTGCTCCGGATCCGTACATGAATAAAGCTTATGTCACCGATGGTACATCCCGCTGAGCAGCAGTAAGTAAGCTCACAACGGAGATAAAAGGAGCCATCCCCCGAGTAAGCAGTCATAAGAATAAATACAAACTACAGATATTACTTATCTGGTCGGGGTCTTACAATTTCTGGGCGAACAAATCATTCAGCACTGAATTGTCGTGATAATGACATTATGAATAATGCAAACCGTCAGCCGTGCAAGGGAGGCCATCATTAATGCAAAGCTACTCCATGCCTCTGAACGTGTTCTTTTTTTTTTTTTTTAATTTATATCTTAGGGAATGTCAAACACACACCATTCACAATTAGGCTGGAGAGCTTAACAGGCGTAGATTTTAATTCGGTCTCAATTAGGGATTTGGTGGCAACACAATCCTCCCTTTTAGCAAAGCACAAAGTGGTAGTCTGCAGGTTATCATCCATCCCAATTCTGACAATCTGAGAAATAACAGCTGGAAAGTAATGAAAAATACATGTGAGTTTGAGGTCTCTGCTCTTTCCAAAGAAGCTCTTAAAGATCGTGTACATTATCTTTAGAGAAACACAACAATGTTCTGCTACAATGAGCTACAGGACATGCAATATGTAAATATTATGTAAATATCTCCTTGGACTCTAAAAAAACTCACACCCAAATCCTGTAACTTTGGTAGAAAGCAAGGCTGCGAAGGGACAATGGGAAGTGAAATGTTTGGGGCAATGGTTCCCTTTTCCAAATATGAAAACAGAATTATTTGTTTGTGACTATTGAGTTGCGGATTAAGCTAATGTTGATATTACTAAATTTCTCTCTGGAAGTTGTTTTGGGTTTTAAATGACCAGGACAATTTTTTCTTAAGGAGAAACGTCAGTGGGACTAATTCATAGCTGGGATATTTTCAGGAAGAAGAATAATATTTCCAACCCACAAATCTATGCTCATGGGGATATTTGGAAAATACTCAAAGTGTATTTGCTCTATGCTCCTAAATTTGAGAATTAAACTTACTTACTGATCCTCCAGACTAATAAGTTGATTATGGTTATGGTAGATGAAGTACCGTAAGTCCTCTTATTCCTCATTTGATACTCGGCTTTTGAGTGGTTTATTGGGCATCTGTGGTCCATAATGTTATTAACAATAAAAATTAAATGATAAGAGCTTGACCACTTCCTAATTTCAAATACACAGACTTTTAAAATACAATGCATAACATTTCTTTACATATTCAAGAAGATGATTCGTTATATAGGAAGAAAAAAATATATATATTCCTCAAGTTAAGGCCCTGAATAGATTTAAGACTACCCAGAAATGATCTTCATATATGTTAAAGTAGGTTATAAATATTAAATATTTTTTAAAAATTAAGACAAATGACTTCAAATTGTCAATGTTGGAATATTAGATAATATGGAAATAAGTTAAAACCACAATTAGAAAAGCAGTTACAAATTGTGCTATAAATCAAGCTTTCTCTTTATCCTGTGAAAATTTTGTTTTTTGAATTCCTATAGATTTGGAAAAGTCATTTATTGGATATTTGGTCCATGAGGTCTCAGGTGTTTATATTATAAATACATGCCCAAAGTATACCAGGAAGGAAGATACTGTCATTGTCTCTCACTGGTAAACTCTTCATATTTTATCATGAAGTATTCATCTTAAATAACATTAGGATTAAATAGACCCAATATAATTTTATCATTTTAATGATATCATTTTTTGCATAGGTTATGTCTCTGCAAATAGAACAAATGGGATTAGAAATAAATCTAAGGCTGCTCCATCCAACTTGCTAATGTCTGATTTATTTTTCATTGCACATAAAACCAGATTTTCCAATGAATAAAGCCTTTGTGTTTTTAATTTGTTTTAGGGAAAATGATCTATATATAAGAAAAGTTGGTAAAAGAGACTCCAGAAAAATATTTGTTCATCACAAACTCTGAGATTTAATATGCTATCTTTTTGCTTTGATAGAGTTCACTAACACACATGAAAAATTTCTGTAATTTTACATAAACTGAACAGCTACTAGTTGAAATAAGAATGTGTATCAAAACCATCCACATGCTATCTGTCATTATAACATTTAGCCAATACACAAAATTGCTCAACACATCCACTTGATACATATCCGAATTCGTTACAAAAAATGGAATCAATAAACATCTAGCAGATTTTTGTCATCTGCTTATTTTTTACAATTTTAAATAATTTTGTTCATGCTTCATTTCTATAGTTGCTGTTATTATTGATGATAAAGTTAAGTCAGACTCTCCTAGTGCCTAGGAGACTTCCATTGGCAACTCTGGGTCTAACATCCATTCTTTCAGGCAATCAGGGTCCCACTTGGCAAACAGAGCCACTAAGTGATAAATACCTGTACGAGGAAATCTTCCAAAATAGTTCAAAGAAGAGAGTAGCCAAGAGGTTGTGAAAATCAAACTCTGTATTTTAAAAATTTTACATACCTAACACTTTTTTTTTCCATCCATTCATTCAAAGTGTGTTTAATGCCTAAGATGGTTCTAGATGTTGCTTTAGACTTGAAGGACACAAAACTGGATGAAATAGTGCAGTGATCAAGGAGTTCAGAGACTAGCTGGAAAGTCAGATAAGTGCAAAGTAAAAATAAGACAAAAAGGGTGGGCATCCTCAGTTAGATGGTAAGAGGTTCCAAAATGTCTTTCTAAAAATGCGATGCCTACCTTCAACCTTCAAAGAAACGTCAGAGTCAAATAAAAAGTGAGAGCGGCAGTAGTCAGGCCAAAGGAACAGCTTTACCTGGGGAAAAGGGACACACCAATGCACCACAGTCCGGGGTATTTCAGCCCTGACCAAACGCTGATGTGAGGGAACAAGTTTCATCTCTATCAAGACAGTAGTAGTTCACAAGAAGTTAAATGTACCTTCTGAAACTCGAAAGGCTACTTTTGAACTAAGTGCTCCTTATACAGCAAGTAATGAACCCCAGGATGTTTTAGTTAAATACCAAAGGTATTAAATGTCTAAATTATAGTTTTAGATACAGTTTCAAAGAAAAATTTAGTTAAATTACTAGCAGGTAGATAAACACTAGTAGTAAAATAATAACAAATAATCAACACTGTAATGTTGTATATTTATAACATAACCAACACAGGCTTTATACACAGATTGATTATATCCTCACAGTAATCTTCTGAGGTAGGTATTAGCATTGCCAATTTACAAATGAGAAAACCAAGCCCAGGAATTTTTTCGGAATATTATGCGGGTACAAATGTTTTGGTTACATAAATCACTTTTGTACTATTTGAATAAAAGTTTTAAGTGTGCCCATCCCCCAGATAGTGTGTGTTGTACCCATTAGGTGTGAATTGGAATTTAATCAAGGTATGCTAGATTTTAGAAGGTTGTATTTCTGATCTTTTAATTCGGATATCAGAGACAGACAGCTAAGCCTTCCCACGAAACTCTTACAATTAATAGAGAATGGAATTTTTCGAAGGCTGTTAAGTCTGACTCATTGCAGTAATATTAAGTTTCATATTTTATACAATGGCTATTCAACAATTTCTAGTCATTACAATCTGCATTAGAATTACCAGTACTTCTTTCTAAGATTGTAGTTTTTGTTGTCTGGACTCCAATACTTTTAATTTGAATTTGGATAACCTTGAGGATATAGGAATTCACAAAGTGGGCTTGGAAACAAGCAGTGGTACTTCTAGTGCATTTCCATCACTTCCCTCAGAGCAAACTTCAGAAAATACCATCCCACACCAGTGCAAACTCACATACCATTGCACAGGTTATGCAAATAAAATAATTACCCATATTACTCAGTTATAATGAAATTAAAAATATCTGATTTCTTTTCTAGGCCCTGTTTGCTTTTATCTGTGTATATTGTATGCTTGGTACTCTGATCTAGGTAGGATATAAAATTAAAAAGGAAACAATCTCCTAGAGAGAAAGTTGAATTATTGAGCCATAATTTTGAATTGAGTTTTTTGGTGAACACACAAATAATTTAAGCACTGCACTCATGTTTTCTATTGTCATTGGTGCCTCTCTGAGGAATTACAGCATCTCATAATTCAGACTTGTTTACTCCAAGGTTAACAGCACAGAAAGAAAACACCTTTTTATGCTTAAAATGTGTGGTTGCATATTAAAAGTGTTGTAGATGATATTCTTTCTTGTGTCTAGGTAAAATTCAAAACAGTTATTAGATGGATTTTACTCATTCTAAAATAGTTATTGTATGACAATTGTGCATACAATACAGTTGGATACCATGGGAGCAGAAAGTTGTGAAACACAATTACGGTACAGTTAAAAAAAAAAACAAAAAAAAAACTAGCAGAACAAAAGTACAGCTGTCCTTTGGTATTCATGGGGAATTGGTTCCAGGAATCCACCATACCCAAATCCTGGGGTGCTCAACTCCCTTATATAAAATAGCATAGTATTTGCATATAAACTACATAACCCTCCTATATACTTTAAATCTCTTCTAGAATACTTACAATATTTGACACAATGTAAAGGCTACATAAATAGTTATACTGTACTGTTTGGTTTTACTGTATTATTGTTTACTGTATTGTTTAGGGAATAATTGGGGGGAAAAGTCTGTACATGGTCCATATAGATGCAAGCATCCTTTTCAAAAAAAAAAATTTTTTTTTCATCCATCATTGTTTGAATTCACAGATGAAGAACCCACAGATATGGAAAGTCCACTGTATATATGTGTACATGTATAAACTTTGTTTTAAAAGAGCCATAATTATAAAACAGCCTATAGACAACATTACAAACATATAATAAAATGGAATAATTGTTTAGAAGATAAAAGCTAGTACAGCTGTCAAAGTGAGAAAGTAAGATGGGTATTATCAGGGCATGATGTTGGAGGAACCAACCTTTATCCAGGATTTTTAAAATTAAAGATCTTGGTGGGGGGTGGGGGGCATCAGAAATCTACTACTACTAGCGCAAGTCAATGATGGGAATTTCTAAAAGGATACAGGGGGAATCTCATGACCCAAGGGCAAGAATGTTGGTGACCTCACATAGGGTAGAACTAGGGACCAGAATGCTCATAGAAAACATTCTTCTCCCTGCCCATGTCTCTTGCTCTCTGTTACAAGGGCTCTCTTTTCTGCTTCCTGCTGAACACAGTCAGCTTGCTGGAGTAGCCCAGGGTACAGACGCAAATCAGCTCACCTGAGTCTGAAAGCTTCATCCCTTACTTGTTATCTTGTTCTGGGTACGTTATTTAATCATTATGGCTTCATCTTTCTCATTTGTTAATGGAGCTTATCATAAAGGCACCTACTTCATATGGTTGCTGTGAGCCTGAAATGAATAGGCACTATTAATCTTTATTACCTGGAATTTTCCACATCAGAACTTTTCCAGAACATGAGTGTTAGGAGATATTATGCGAAATGTGTTGTTATGTGAAAAAATTAAGTGTGGTAGACAGTGGGTTAAAGCTAGCTAACTAGGCATCTCAATGAAAAGCCTGCTTGCAACTTCATTCGGGATCAAGGCAGGGTTAGTAAGGCGCTTACCATAGGAGCAAATATTTAAACAGGAACCAAACAGCTCAGTAATCAAGATAAATATTTTCATGTATTATTTTTTTAAAAATCAAGTGGGTGAGCTATAGCCTGAAGGCTGCCTGCCTATTTTTATAAATGAAGTTTTATTGGAACCAGGGCCAGGATTAGGATGAGATTAGTGAGGAAAGGCTATAAAATATTGGATCCTGTCATCTTCATTTAAATTTTAATATTATATTCATCATGGAATTCTTTACACTAAATTTGATTTTTAATTAATATTCCATTAAATATTTTATCTTGATTACTGAATTTTTTGGCACCTGATTAAGTTTGGTGCCCAAGGTGAGGGTCTTATTCTCCTTGCCCTAGTCCTGGCTGTATAAGGTTCATTATGTATCAGCAAGTTTATAGCATTTTACTACTTACATTGGTCACATAACTCTTTGCTTGGTGGCAGTATGCAGGGCCAGGGTTCAGCAAAAGACACCCAGGGAAACAGTAATTTTTTAGGTGCCCAAGAATTGCTCGAGCACTTCTATTCCCTCTGCCTTTGATGTGAGGGTTCCTAGTTCCAAAGATAGGCAAAAGAATTTTAACAAAGTGAAACTTGGCCGATCAAGAATTTTAAGCCCAGTAAGTCACACTCTGAAATGGATTCATAATTAATTTGGTAGCCAGGGCAGGGCCAATCACAACTAGAGGACCCACATGTGGTACAGATGGTCTTATTCTAAATTGAAATTCATTTCCAACCTCATTTCAAGCACCGTGCAAGGCTTGAGCCTGATTAATCACGCAAGTGAAAAGGGTGAAGCTGATTCTAACTAGATTAGGAAGAAATTATCCTAAAGCCAACTTCTATGGTCATTGAGAACCTCAAAGCAGAAAGGCTGCCTAATTCAGTGGAATCTATGGAAACATCCAGGCAGAATTTAAGCAAATGAACAGAGTTTCAAACAGGCACCCTTTCCCTATCCCAGTTTCCATTAAAACGTCCCCCTTTCTTCATCTGAACCACAATAGAATTTATACCCCCTCTTTTAGGACTTATCGTAGTTTTGTCTTATTTTATAGCTATTCATCAGAAGACCTGAATTTGAGCCCTAATACTTTTGGTAGTCTTGCCTCCTCAAGAAAGTCTATAGCTTTGATTTCTTAAATATACAACGCCATAATGGTATCTGGGCATTGTACTATACTATATTGGCAACTGGGTGTAATCTCTAGTTTTGGAAAGGAAAAAAATGATGTCCTTCCGGTGAGGTGGCTCACACCTGTAATCCTAGCACTCCAGGAGGCCAAAGGGGGGAGGATCACTCAATGTCAGAAGTTCAAAACCAGTCTGAGCAAGAGTGAGACCCCATCTCTAGGAAAAATAGAAAGAAATTAATTGGCCAACTAAAAACACATAGAAAAAAATTAGCCAGGCATGGTGGCACATGCCTGTAGTCCCAGATACTTGGGAGGCTGAGGCAGAAGGATCGCTTGAGCCCAGGAGTTGGAGGTTGCTGTGAACTAGGCTGATGCCACGGTACTCTAACCCAGGCAAAAAGAGTGAGACTCTGCCTCAAAAACAAAACAAAACAAAAAAAACGGATGTCCAAGTGCTATATTAAATCCTTACGCTATCCATAGATAATAGACAATTTAAACCTTAACTTTTTTGAATGATCCCTTAGATCAGAAATTATATCACTCAACAGCAATTATAATATTAGTGCTAATAGATAACATTTATTCAGTATCCTGGGGGCTGATATCACTCTGAATATTGCAGGGCTGTGAACTCATTTATTTCTGTCAACAACTAACAAAGGTGGCGCTAGTATCACCTCAGTTTTAGAGTTGAGAAAACTGTGCCTGACTGAACAGGAAAGTGAAGGAAAATCTGGTTTACCACTTCATTGGAATGTGATTTTTTAGTTTGATACTATTTTCATATCATAATAAAATATTTCCTATTGTTATTACAGACCCCAAGTCACAGGCCCTTCGCCTTGTAGCTGAGCCTTCTTGGGAGTCCTTCCGTAGTGCGAAGAGGCCAGGCTCAAGTCTGCTTCTGTCAAAAAAAAAAAAAAAAAAAAAAAAAACAACATTAAGAGGTGTTATGTCCCAAATGTCATCCATTAGCATTTCCCCTAAATATGTAGAGTTCACACTTTGACTACATATTCTCCTTTCCATTGTTCTCCCTATATTCTCAGAACAATCCCATGAAAACAGAACTATCCCATTCCCAGAACTATTCCCAGAACTATCCCATGAAAATCTTGATTGTCTTCTCCTGAGCTGCTTCTTTGCTCTTTAAGTTACAGAAATAGCAGATGCCTTAAACTCCTCTTGCCTTTGAAACCCATGTGCTATGATGTTTGCCTTGAAAAGGCTGAAATTAACCTATTAATCAATCCTAAATTAACATAGAGTTTTTTTTTTTTTTTAATTCATGTTGTTTAAAGAAGAAAAAGCACCAGTCCCTAACTACCAAACTCCCCAGGGGGCAGTTAGAATAGGCGAGAATGCAAGGTGTGAGAGGGTGTTTTCCATAATAAAAGGTCATTTGGGGAGAGCCCTGAGAATCCAGAAAGACCCTTTGGCATTAGAAATAATTCTACATCCTACTGGCCTCTGGCTAAAACAGGTAAAAAGAAAGAATGGATTTAGAAAACACTTTCCCCTCCCAGAACGCTTTCCCAATTCTACTTTACACTTAGACAAGAACCACAGCAGGCATCTATGAAAGCAATGACCTATAAATAGCATATAAATGTACGTCCTGTGGAAGACTTTCTGATAATATTTTTATCTGGACCACACCACGTATACTGGTTCGGTGCGTGAGGATAGGGCCTAGAGCTCTAGAGCTACATTTCCATTTTTTATATGCATGTGCATGTCCGTGTGCGTGCAGGTATAGAAAGGATGTGTGTGAAGTGAATGAGAGTATGGGCTCTTGAGCCAGACTGCCAGTACCAGCTGCACGTCCCAGCTGCGTGACTACAGACAAGTCGCTTAACCCCATCCAAGTCTCAGTTTCCCTCCTCAGCAAAAAAGAAAATGATAAGACTAGATCTCACCTCACAACATCGTGGTGAAGATTAAATGACTTAATAGCTTAGAATAGTGCCTTACACATAGAAGACACTATATATATATATATGTGTGTGTGTGTGTGTGTGTTTATTGCAATTGTGATAACAATATAGTAACCATAGTAATTATTCACGTCATTGAATATGTATGCACACATGAAAGGGTGTGGACATGTCCAAGCTTGAAATACAAGCAGGGATCGCTCAAGGCCATGCAGGGAAACAGAGTCACTTTCTGAGGCAGGCCAGAAAATTCCAGGCTGTTCCACAATAGCCAGAGCCATGGAAGGGCTGCCCCTTTGGAGCTGAGTCCATTTAAAAACAGCTATCCAGAAGGAACAGAAGCTTAGGCATTAGTGGCTAGGTCTTCCACAGAAAAAAGAGGGAGAGGGTGAGTAGACATTATTTTAATCCCCCCTGCCCTCAGTATAAAGAGTACATGTGAGAGCAAAGGGGTTGGGGACTGCAGGTAAAGCACCTCTCTGCAAAAGCAAGCAATCTTCTTGCACCAAGACCTCCACATCTATACTAAAGCAAGCCTCCAAATAAAGATGTTATTTTTTTTTCATATTCAAAACTTCCAGAATTATTTCTATTAGGAATCACAATCAAAGTTAAGTAGCAGTGTAAGTAAGCCTTAGTGAGTCATTACAAGCTTAAGGAAAGCATGTATATAGAGTATATATATTTATATATATATGATGTGTGTGTACACATATATATATATATATATATGCATGTATATATATATATGGCATTTACAGTTTGCAAGAGAAAGTTCCCAATAAACAAGTAATAGATGGACTTGGAAACTGCTGAGCAGGTTTTCAAAGGCAAAAACTCCAAGCATTTGCAGCTAAATGTGTTTTGTGGCCTCACTGACCTTTCCATAAAAATATTGTTAAGAAATCATATTACTTGCAAATTATTAAAGAGGGGAAATAGCGTACACTGTAGCAATAATATTTTAAGTATCTCGTGTAAATAAAGCAAAAGTTCACATTTTAATTAGGGCAGGTTAATACAAAGTATGTTGCAAAGGAAAAGGAAAAGCAATTTGTTCAATTACTTCCAAAGAGGAAAGGGAGCACAAAAATGTTGGAACTGAAGAATCTGTCAGAGAGAAGATATATGAAAACTTAACCTTTTTTGGCAATGCCTTTACGATACTTTCACTCCATCCTAAATTGCCTTGACCCATCATATTAGCCTTTCTTGTTTCCCTTAATGCATGTTCCCATCTTGTTTTGACTCTATTTTGCTGAATTCAGCCTCTAAATAAAGTTCTTCCCACCGCCACCTCTTTCTGTGACATATATCCATGCTTTTGTCTCCTTACTGCTTAGCTTCTCTTGTCAATTTCATGAATTTTCATTTCTAGTATTTTTTCCTTATGCTTCATTTTTCAGTTTCAAAATATTGCACCCATTCGGTAATCATGGTTTCAAGGAACCAAGACTTGCTCGAGGAACCTGAGGGAAAAAAATGCAGCTTGGAGAGGATGTCCACATGCAGGGACTCAAGAGTACCTGGGCACCCATTCTTCTGAAGGGCAGGAAGGCAGGCAGCTCTAAGGACCAGTCAAGTCTCTGTCCCTGCCACAGAGATACCGCGTGAATGACCTTATTCTGATGTTTACTCAATTTTTACTTTCTCTTCTTTTTTATTTCTCTCACTATAACCTTTTTTAAATATCAAAATATTAATGCGCTATAAATAATTTTTGTTACATGGATACACTGATACACTATATAATGCTGAAGTCGGGACTTTAGGTGTGCTGGTCACCAGGACAGTGTTCATTGTACCTGATAGGTAAGTTTTTACCCCCACACTCTGCCCAACTTCCTCCTCACTTAGTTCCAACATCCTTTACATCATTTTGTGCTCATGTGTACCCAATGTTTAGCTCCCACATATTAGTGAGGATACATGGTGTTTCTTTTTCCATTCCTGAGATATTTCACTTAGGGTAATGGTCTCCAGTTCCATTCAAGTTGCTACGAATGACATTATTTCATTCCTTATTGTGGCTGAGTAGTATGTGCTCTGTGGTGTGTGTATGTGTGTGTGCGTGTGTGTGTGTGTGCATAGGTTGATTTCATATCCTTGCAAATATGAAATGTGTTGTGATAAACATTCAGGAGCAGGTGTCTTCTTGATAAAATTATTTCTGTTCCTTGGGGTAGATACCCAGTAGTGGGATTTCAGGATCAAATGATAGGTCTACTTTTAGTTATTTAAGAAATCTCCATACTGTTGTCTATAGAGGTTATACTAGTTTGCAGTCCCACCAATGGTGTGTAAAAGTTCCTTTTTCTTTGCATCCATGCCACTAGCTGTTGTTTTTTGACTTTTTAATAATGGCCAGTCTGACAAGGATCAGATGGTATCTCTTTGTGGTTTTCATTTGCATTTCCCTGATGATTACTGATGTTGAGCAAACTATACATGTGATAAAGAACTAATATCCAGATTCTACAAAAAACTCAAGTAAATCAGCAAGAAAAAC